AAGCAGAGTGCCAAACTAGTTTGAGCATATTTCTAACAAGTTAAATCAAAGAGCCAACTAGTGTAGGCAGCTGCCGTCTGATATCAAGGATGTGGAATAAATACTCAAAATGGCTTGCCATACACTTCCGCGTTAGTCTGCTCTTGTGTATGCTCCCTTTCGTCTCCTCTGGAAGCCTCCTCCCTCACCCCTCCTCAACTCCTCCGTGTGCATTTCAGCAATTGGGACATCCTTCAACATGGCATGTCTTGATCGAGTTCCGGGTCAAGTCCCGGAGGAGGCGGAGAGAGGAGTCGAGGAAGGACATTGAGATGAACCTCTTGTGTCATATGGTCATGTTGATGGGCATCTTTATTTGAATCCATTTAGCTGTGTTATCCTGCAGCCCATGTGTGACATTATCTTGCTCCAGCAGAGGGCCTCTGTGATAACAAGACAAACTGCTGCTCATAAATCACATGCAGTACCACCCAGAAGGTTTCTCATTTCTCTAATTCCCCTCCTCAACTCCCCTCCTCGACTCCTGGCTATCCTCGTGTCTTACTCCCGCCCACAGGAGATGCGAGCGGAGGACTCGAGGAGGGGAACCGAGGAGAGAGGAGGGGAAGCAGCAGGCGTTTAGAGAAAGGAGAACTCCTCTCCTCTGAGCGGTCATTTTAAAGAGACGTCCATTAATGATGACAGGACGCACAGCAGCCCTCTGCCTGATGGACAGATGTGTTCATGACGACTTATATATTTACTTTTAATTCATTCACAGTGTGGTAGTGAGACAATAACAGGCTACAGATGTGGACATATACACACACATATATTTATATAAATATATACAATTTCAGAATCAAACAAATGAGAGCACTCTCATAATAACTCAACTCAACTCAACTTTATTTATAAAGCCCTTTTCAAAACAGCCGGAGCTGAAACAAAGTGCTGTACATGCCATAAAAAACAAAAACAAAACAACAATAACAATAAATAACAATATAAAAACAACAAAACCAATGAAGCATATAAAAACAAACAGAAACAGAGTCTCATGCTGGGTTAAAAGCCAAGGAATAAAAATGGGTTTTTAGGCGAGTTTTAAAAATGGACAGTGAAGGGGCTTGTCTAATGGTCAATGGGAGGCCATTCCACAGTAATAACGTAACACAATCAGAGACTGGATATATCATCAACATTTAAACCACTATATTTGATTACTATCACTGAGTACAGCCCCATGGAGAGCAAACTACACTGGAACTCAACCCATGCACATCACTTTACACGTACATGCACTACCTGTGTGTGTGTGTGTGTGTGTGTGTGTGTGTGTGTGTGTGTGTGTGTGTGTGTGTGTGTGTGTGTGTGTGTGTGTGTGTGTGTGTGTGTGTGTGTGTGTGGACATATGCCAACATAACATGCCATGTTGTGCATTTTAGCTGGCATACTCACACAAATCCAGACTTGAGGATGTATTTCATTCCATGAACCCATGCATAAATCATTTGCATAAATATCCTATATTTATAATACATATCATATAATGAGCAAATATAAGAGTGCATTTATAAAAAGTGTATCCAAATAGCTCCATTAGGTTGAAAGGCATGTCATGTATGTGTTCATGTCAGGCCATATTTACATGTAAACACGTCAGTCTACATATCCTCTGAAGTTTATGGCTGATGGGGGGGAGGGGGCATGGGTTAATGCCTCCCCAGTTATGTAACACACATGGGATGGCAGTCATATTGTGCGCTCATCTCGCTTCTTGTCCAATCGCGTGTGTCCTCGCCTCCAGCTCTCCTCCACCCGACAGTCTCACAGCAGAGCAGAGCGGAGGCTGGCACCACCAACACCAACACCAGCAGCAGAGGAAGGACCCTTTGTGCTCCACCGACTCACGCGCATCCTTCTGAGAGGAAACACCAACACACATCCAGGTGGGAATTGTATTTATTGATGTAAAACGATTGTAAACAAATCCATTATTGACAAGAACCGATATGTAAGTGGGATTTGAGGAGGAGCTGCTTACAAGTTCAGAAGCGCGTCTTTTTTTTGTCGAATCATCCGAACGATTATATAAGTAGGCTGCGCACGTTATACTGTTGTTGTTTTTAGGTCTGAAATTGGGGGTTTACATCACGGTTTGTTTTCATTCTGTGTCCTACTTGGCGTGCCTTTATAGAGGCATCTCACTTAGAATTAAAAACATTCCCAGATGAAACAAAAACAACATCGTTTGATACAAAATGCTATGATGTAAAATAAACCATTTGAAGACATGATGGTCATTATAAAGGGATATCAGGAGGATACAAAAATGCCATTTGCTTTAGGGACAATGAACATAGCTTGGTGGCGACATGTTGAAAACAAAGGGAGGCATGTAAACATGGGAGGGTCATATCAGGGCATGTGTAACTATTTGGTGGCTGCATGCTGTTCGGGAAAAGTGCGACATTTAGTTTATTATGAGAATTTCATGTATTTTTAAAAGGTTTCAGCACCATTATGTGGAAGATGTAGTAAAACAATAAGAATGCTATTATCATGTTTTTATATATATTGTATATCTAACCAATTAAAGAGCTTCTGGACTGTTAGGAAACCACGTGATCATTTTGGTATTGGCTCCGATATGCTTTATTATGCTCCCTTGAATGATTGTCTGAGTGCTCACTCAGACATGACATCATGCAATGATGATGCATTCTGGTGGAGGATACACTATAGGCAATAACATTGTTTGTCATGTCATGGTCAATTGTGAGAGTTTGGGCACTTTGCTTCCATGTTTAGACTAGTTAAAAGAAAACATCCATAGCATTGATGTATTTAATCCGGTGGGGTAACCTTTCAAATGGTTTAACATATTTCCCTTAGTGTACCTCAAAATGTATGGAAATGTACAATATCTTTGAAGCTAATTTCTCATAATTAGGCATACATCTCCCCTTCATACAGTAGTGCCAGTTGCATTACTACCTGTATCTTCTGAAGGTTTTGACAGAGTTGTTTGTTTAAATATCATACATAGCCTGATTTATGATTTAGAAAGTGATACAAAGAGATATAAAAAATTCCCTCTTTAAAACAGTTTTACTTTGTTCATATATCTGCTTTGGAAATGCATGCAAATTAGCACATACACTGCATAAACCATTATAGATCACCCACTTCACAAAAAAAGGCCTTGTTTTCATTTTGAAACATTAAATATCATAAACGTGCACCAAAGAAAATTGAACCAACTGGGGAAGTTTCATGCTGTTAGCTTCTTTTTTTTACCCCGATCCACTGTAGTGTCTTCCAGTAAGGGTTGGTGAGCTGATCAGTGTTACAATCGACATGCTGCTCAAAAATAAGGAAATATTCCCACTTTTAGAGCACAAATATTACCTGCGTCAGAACACAGAGGCTCAGTAAAGATCACATATTTTAAAACTGCGCAACAGTCTGTCGCCTAGGAGCTCATCAGCTTCCATCACATGTCGTCATCTCTGATCAGGTCAACAGAACAAAATGCAGTAAATTCATCATCCAATTGGAATAAACAGCTTATTATTAGTCCATGTGCATGATCAACATTAGAAAGCACATACTGGGGTAGATTAGAGGGATTTATTATTCACGCCCACTCCCTGCTGCTTTGAAAGTAGAGAACCATCTGGATAAGAGGAATATAGGCTTAGAGGCCTGTTTACCATACATGTGCACACATTGTATCTTCCTTTCCAGGGCCTCTACTTCCCAAATTAGGGCGTGTGGATGAGATGCTGGAGTGATCGTGTATCGCTTGCGCACGTAGTCTGAAGCACTTTGTAAGGCTTAAGAGAGCTGAAAATCCTGGGTTTGCAACTAATAGATAATGCTTAGCCTGTCGTTCAGTAGGTAGCCAATCAACTCTGTCTGGAGGGTCTGTGCAGGAGTTAATGAATAATCCTCCTTCAGGCTAGAAGGCTAGTTCAGGATAAAACAACAACGGTAGCTGGCTAAATGTCCCTATGCACAGCTAAGATGAACACAATCTGACTGACTTAATGCATCATGTGCAGGCTTCTGTCTGTCAAAGGGTGTTAGGTTACAAGCTGACACTATTGAGTGATCATCAGCTTGTTATTTCATCCTGGCACCGGCACAAAAGAAATCATTTTGCAAAGATGTGGCTCTAAATTAGAGTCTGACTTTTCATTCTTCATGTTCTGATATCTCCGCCCTCATGCATTTCCTTCACATGGCTTGTAATGGCATGAATTTATAAAAGTCACTTCCTGGGATAGAGAATCATCCCTCTCTCATCTCAGCACACCCTTTTTAGCTAAGTATTTCTGCCCCTATTCATTGCTTCAGATCTAGTACTTTCTATGATGCCCGATTCTTCATTATAATCACACTTACAATGCGTTATCATATTCCTATAGCATGGTAGATACAACTCATAATGCTTTATAGCTATAACCATCACACATGATGATGTATTTTATAATATTGTTTTCAGATTCCTATCGTTGAAATAAACTAGCAAACAATGTCTACTTATGGTAACTTATTATCACATTAATGCATTAGATTACATTGTTTAAAGAGTACACTGTATTAAAACTATGGAAATTATAAATCACAATTATCCTAGCAAATAATTGTCAGTCAATGACCAGAATGTATGAAGTACTAAGATACTTGACGAGTAAGAGTATTATGCTTTATAATGTAAAACAAAAAATTGTACTAAGCAATATGAATATTTGTGAGTAGTTGTAACTATTACAATGTCTTGTTTTTTTTAATGCATTGTAGACACAGGCATCATAGAGAGTGCTTCCCCTTATTTCTTTACTAGTTATAATCTTAACATAGTGATATCACTATGTAACACTGGCACTTTTATTGCCTAGTGCTCCAACACATTAAACATGATAGGCTTAGGGTCAGGACATTTCCACAGATCTTTAGGCAGTTGACCAATCACAACAGAGCCGGCCAGCTAACCAATCAGAGCCCACTGGAAACATGTCTCAGTAGAGGCACAAAATACAAATATGAAACCTGAAAATGAACATAAGATGTCCTCTTTAAACCCAGCATCAAGGCTTAAAGACACAAAAAGTTTAAATGTAAGTATTTGGATGAGTATTTAGAGACTAAGCTCACACATGCTGGCTCATGGACACAATGTTCATTGAGTGTGAGAAAACATTGTACAGCTGAATGGATGAACACCCACTCACTACCTCTAAGATATTTCTCAGTGAAGGACAGTGTCTCAGGATGAGCAGCAGAAGCAGATATACACGCAATTTGACACATCCAACTGCAGCATTTTCCTCCGTTGCTAAGACGGTTGCTAGGGCACGATGCTGCTTGGTTTCTTGAATCTGCTGTTCCAGTGTGCCAAGCAGCTGTGTAACGCTACAGTACGATGAATCTGTGGGATGCTTTGAAATTGAAGAGAAACTGCAGGCGAGGTGGTGTCAGCGATCCAGAACTAAATCTATTTCTGATGCTGATTAAAGGAGGTTTGATTCCCACAAGTCACTGCTCTATTTTTGCAATCCCCTTCTGGCTGATTTGAAGAAAGAGGATTTAGCACGAGCTGCTCATACAGGGAACGTGGCTTATATTAGGTCAAGTGGTGACATCATTCTGAAATTGATGTTTTTTTGCAGCAATGTTGAACAAGGAAGAATGTAAAAACCATCTGGATAAAGCGAGGGAAACAGGTTCAGTGATGCGTCAGCAGCATACAGGCCTTCGGGTCATTACATCATTCCCAATGCAAAAAAGAAGGGAAAATGTATGCACTTATGCAACAGACCCCCTTAAGGCCCTGAGAGAAAATCACCAGGAGAGAGGAAGTGATGTGATTGTGTCAAATGTATTCAAGCATGAGAGGAATTCTGCATTATTTAGCTTTAAAGCATCAATAAAATAATCGTATTCCGTGGTTAAATGTTCATGTACAGAACAAAAAGTTTTGACAAGATTCTACTTTCTACTTCTACTCTTTAAAAAAAAGAGGATGTAACATTGCTCCATCATGTGTTATATCTCAATGCACTTTGATGCTTTTGGCAGACAGCCCTTTTGGCACAGAAGTATGTTAGGGAGAGTTAGTGCAGTTTTGTTAAGCAAAGTGATATACTGAAGGAGAACAACTTTCATCATTGCTGTGCACCATTTTATCATCTTAATCTGGGACGACTTTGATGAAATCCAGAATAGGAAGAGTTTTTCAAAATGTTCTTCTTTAAAGCTCTATTCTTGTAGACTCTTTTAGTTTGTTTAGATAGCACCACCTTTTTCCCTCACTCATGGTCCCCAGAGGACGTATCTTCATGTGTTGGAACATTCCCGAAAATCTTCCTCGAGAATTTCTAATCCAGAGTAAAATATCTTGCCAACTATTGGATGCATTGCAGTGACATTATGGTAATACATAGGCTACAATGTTCTCCAGAGGATGTTATCGAATGAGTTTGGAGGGTTTTTCTCCAGTGCCAACATTTAGTTTGATCTAGGGCCATCTTCACATCAATATTTCTGTTTAACCAGTAGTTTGCTTTCTGAGCTAATACTTACAGAGCTAATGACATTTCTTTGCTTCAGCTGTACTTGCTGATTTGCAAATGTTAGCATGCTAACAGGGTAAACTAAGATTTCCTTTTTTTATTATGGTTTATTGCACTTATTGTAGGTCGCTTTGGATCAAAGTTTAGTAAATGTAATGTAATACAGTATATACCTGCTAAACATCAAGCTAAGCATGCAGATATTTAGCTAAAAGTTCAAAGCTATTAGCATTGCTATTAAGTCTTGTTATTTCATGTTTTTTTACACCATTTTGTTTATGTTATGCTGTTAAATTGACTTGCCTTCATTTAACCTTCAAATGACTGCTGATTTGGCAGATTATATTCAGGGTTGGCATAGAATCAGTTTCATGAGGTCACAAATTGTGCTTGTGTTGGTGATGGCTAGCACTGGCTTCTTGTGCCATCTGTACCAGACAGGATATGTGTGTGTGTGTGTGTGTGTGTGTGTGTGTGTGTGTGTGTGTGTGTGTGTGTGTGTGTGTGTGCGTGCGTGCGTGTGTGGTGGGTGTGATTTAGCTGCGTAGCAGAGTTCAGACAGAGGGCTCTTGTTTGTTAAGGCATTGAGTGCCACGTTAACGCTGCCACATGCACAGAAAAATGACTTACCTGATTTTTCTCCTCTTTTCATTCTAACAGAGGAAAACGCTCAGTGAAGCACAATGGGACCATTCCAAGAATATGAGGTGAGTCTTATCAAAGGTCACTGGAGATTGATGTCTGCATGTTGAGTGATTGCTTTCCAAAGATAAGTGATGTTTTCTATCTCTTGTGCGTCAGGAGGGACATTTTGGCTTTAGAATGTTCCACAATTATAGCTTATTAAGGACTATGGTATCATGTCAAGAGTGTTTTGTTTTTTTTGCACATTATTGAAATTCAACCTTAACTCCCATTCCAATTAAAAAAATAATTTTTGATCCCACAGTCATTTACTTTACAATAATGCATTTTATAATATCAGTCTTTCCAATCTTTCAAAAATTTTCCTATTACTATTTTCCAGTAGATTGAACCATTTTCTCCAGTTTATAATACCAAAATATGCAATTTTCCTAGTTCTCTGCACGCCAAAATAACAATGCATTAAATTCAACGCTAATCATTGTTATATCTAAGACTGATAGCGTTCAGTATACAAAAAATAAATAGTTCAAATGTTATTGGTTTTTATTCCAAAAAAAAATAACAAAGTTAGTCAAGAATATTACATTTCTTTGAACAGGAAAAGAAGTCACCGGAGAAAGGAAGTCCCCGCAGCCGCATCCCTCGTCTGGTCCTCCATCCCTTCCCACCAAAGGACAAAGGCTCGCCTCTGTCTGACTCTCCATTATCAGAGGAGGAGGGGAAGGAGGGGTACGTCAGCTCGGACCACTCCAAGCGCACCATCAGCACCACCAGCTTCTGCTCTGGTAAGATATACAGCTCCAAACAAAGCCTCAGATACAGATCCATGATATCAAGGTGCACGATTGTATTGCAGTGCTCATGGTTAGTTTTTGAAAACCCACATTCCTTAATTGGTCTTGGTTGAATGAAGATTTTTTTCATTTTTTGCAGTTTGCAAAAGGTTAAAAAGTAACTCAAGCTTTCAGATAAATAAAATAAGTGTTTTCCCTTTAAAAAGTGAGTTAATAAAGAACCATTGTAAAGTATATTCCTTGAGTAAATGCAGTTAGGGCCTTTCCTCCACTGGATTAAAAGGAGTTAATTTGATGCAGATTATTCTACTTTTTTCTTAAGCATGCTACATTTTAAAACTTCAAATAAAAAATGCAATTATGTTTATTTTATTTTCACCTAAATTGGCCTCTTTAACAAACAGCAACCAAAAGAAATCTCTGACAACAAGGTCCCTGGGGACTGACATGCAAAGGGCCCCCGAACTTGCCCCCACACTTGCTACGTAAGGGCAAGAGCCACAGTATAAATAAACGTTTTAGCCCTCATGTTTCATGTCCTTGCATGTGTCTTTGTGGTAATATTCTGTACATTTGTTGTTATTTTGGGTCTAGTTGGGGTACATTTTGTTGTCTTTTTGGTTATATTGACACTCTTTGTAGTTTTGTTGTGTCTCTCTGTGGTTATTTATAGTCATGTTGTGTCTCTGGGATCATGTTGTGTCTCTGTGTTAAATGTGTGTCTTGTGTGTTTTTCTCTGTCTCTCTATTGTTGTTGTATGTCTTGTTTGGGTCATTACATGTCACTCTGGTAGTTTGTCTGTCTTTTTGGTAGTTTTGCATCTTTCTGTGATATATTTATGTCTATTTATGATTTCCCAACAATTGCTGTTAGCAGTAACTTCCAACTGAGGCTCTGGCCCAGGGGCCCATTATCCATCCATACCTGTGTTTATCTACACGTTGTGTAGTAGGTACATTGTGTAATCCAGAAAACAAACACTTCACAACTTCCCACTTTCTGAAAGTGGTTGTAAAGCAGTCTCGCTATCAGTCTCATATCACGTAGTCTGACCCTTGAGCTCTCATTGACTGTCCGCTGCCCCGCACTTCATGTTCTCGGCTATTACTGTCTGTGTGTCTACAATAGATGACACCGGCTGCCCCACTAGTCAGTCTGTGTCCCCCTCCAAAACCCCGCCAGGCTCAGAGCAGAGTGCCCACGGCTCGCCCGTACTCCCGGAGCGCAAGACCAAAGTGAAGAGGGTGAGGGTGATGGCCGAGTGGAGCGGAGAACCCCGGAGCGGCCCTCGGCACAAGAGGGAGCTGAGGTCGGCCATGAAAGCCAGAGGTAAAGGACAAAGCACAAGCAAAGATACAAATATATATATGTTTAAGCTTTAGTTTTGTTGTTGCAGTTTTGTATGTTAAAAAAGGATAAACAACGTTAGAAATGTTATCCTGCTCTTAGATCTGTGAGAATAAGATAATAATCAAATATATGTGACTGGATTCTAGAGCATCTTTTTATTCTTCTTGTGCACAGATTTGTATGCAGCACAACTTATATGCTTCTGCATGCCTGTGGTTCCCCTAAGATGAAAGTGCAATAACTGTGTATTTGTCACATGTCAGTTAGCAGATGTAACATTAAACAAACATTTGTTGGTAGGCAGCTGCTTTTCTGAAAGGGGAAATAATATCTTCAGACATAACAGTAGATTTGGATGTACTGAACAATTTGGAGAGTCTGAGCTATGTTGCTTCCATAACATGTCTTATTTCAGACTAGTGGAAAGAAACATCCAAAATACATATTTAGGTGTTTATTTTACTAACTTTTTTTGTTTGTATCTGTAGAATTCTCTCAAATTCCTCAAAATTGACAAGTAAAAAAAACGTTTTTTACCCTTTTCCACCTGTAGTGTCTTGTATGTTATCTGACAATATGCATATTTAAAGGCAGTTAGAAGAGGGCAGTTGAAGCATTAAAGAACTTTTTTTTTTCTCATACTCACATACTCAGATACAGTATACCCACTTCAGTACTTTGCATTTTCCAATTTCATACCTTTTTTTTATAATCTACAATTTGGTCATTTATACTGAGTTTTTTTTTAAATATATGATTCATATTGTGATTTAATGAACATTTTATATTTAAAAACATGGCAGAAACTGATCATTTGTATGGATGTTGACCACATTTTGGATTTACCGAGTATTAAAAACAGATATTACAAATCCCTCTGTAAAATAATTTGACCCTAAAATGTCGACCAAAATTAAGCACGGTTATGCAAGTTAACACATATTTTACTAAATATTGCTAAATATTGCTTCACTTTTACATGTAAACATAAGAAAGCATTTAATACAAATATGAAGTGTCTTAATGTAAATAATCAACTGAGGGAGTTTCATGTGGATATATGTTACTATTCCTCCTCCTTGAACCTGTGGTGTATCCCTTTAAGAGAGAAAAAACTGTTTACTCACGAGTCAACGTGAGGAAGAGAGCTGATTGGTTGAGGAGATGGTTGGGTGCTTAGCAAATTAGTGTGATTAGCAGCAGGTTAGTCCACTGAGGGACCGAGCACAGACATCAGTATACCCACATATGACACAGGTGGAGGATCACTGAGTTTTAAGATATTTGTTAGTCACGGGAATCACTGAACATAGGAATATGGTTTTGTTTGAAGGGAAAAGATGCTTCTCAGGTACCTCTTTAAATCTGGTCTTTTATCATTTCCGCACAACTTTAAGTGAGCCGTTTTTCCTGATTGACCATTAAGTTGGAGAGTTAGATATTCAGTAGGCCTATTGTGGTGAGGAATCTACAGTGTCTGTCTTATGACAATTGGGGAGACTGTGTTTGGTGCAATGACTGGTTGTTATTAGCAAATTCTGGAGTATTCATGGCATTTGTAATCACATGAGCTGTCTTATCTGTATATATAGTTATCTGTATGTCATCTTGAAACTCATTAGTCTAATAAAGGGGTGTAGATAATGGGGAGTAGCCAATCCAAAAGCTATATGTTTCTTTGCATGATCAATTTGGAGATCTAGGGCTATTTTGCTTCTATAAATGTTTTTCGACTAGTTGCAACGCTTGATTGTTAGAACTGTTAGTTTGTTAAAAGAAAATTCAGCTATGTTTTTGATTGGACATATGCAAATGACTCCTAAGCTTATTGACTCTTATTTCTGTGCTGGAAATGTAAGCAAATTAGCAGATTTTATGAAATAATAACTCTTGATTACTTATTTAAAGAAAATGTAATATGAAAAATAATATTCTTATTGAAAGTTACCCAATGGGAAACTTACATGTGCAAATCTTATTTTTCTCACCCTATTTACCTTTACTGTCTCTCCTAAAGAAGGGCAATTGCCCCATATGGCCTTTCAAAATTGGATGATTTGGCTTTAAGTGCTAAAATGCTGCTCCTTCTCCCTGCAGGAAGTGAGGCAGACTTCAGCTCCTCCAGCAGCACAGGCAGCCTGAAGAACAGAGAGGGCCTCGCCTCAAAGTCAGCTGGAAAGAGAGCTCCAACACGCAGGTATGAGGTTCAGACATCTGTTAGCAGTGTCTGCTGGGGTCACTTTGAAACTAAGGGAGCTCTATCTTTACTAAACAACCAACATTCTCAACATCTTTTCCAATTAACAAGTCAATGATTTATGCTCTCTTATCAAGCCGTGGCAGCTACATCAGACCGCTCCCGGTGTTCAAACCAGCCGGGAGCCCCACAGCCAACCGCGACTCAGAGCTGTATGCCCCCTACACGACCCCCCCCAGAGCTGTCTCCTCCACCACCACCAGCAGCAGCTGCAACTCCAGCCCCACCTCCAGGTACCAACACAGCTTTCTACGGAGCCCTGGGGGGTTCATAGAGAGAAAAATAAATAAAACAAGGCCACGTTTTGTTAATTTGTGTGCACGAGATGTAATTCGTGGCCTCAATTTAAATAAAACGAGGCACTTATTCATTAGTGCGCACGATATACTTTCTCGTTCGCAAAAGATACTTTCTTATGGTTAGACACATCGAACTGCCCGATTATTACGCCATATTATTAGTTTTATGAAGAAGATGTCTGGTCGCCAGGGCATTTGTGTGTATGTGTGGGCATTTGTTTTCAGAAGACATTATTATAGTTGCGTTCGTTCCGGTGCACTCCGACAGCATTTAGCACTAGCCTACATCGAGATTAAGATTAAACGAACTCTTTTCGTGTGTGCGTGTGTGCGTGTGTATGTGTGTGAGAAAGACATATTGGGAGACTTCAGAGATTTGTACTATGAGCACCATGAGTGAGTGTACGACTGGATTAAACTCAGACTTTATCATTTCTTCTTTTGCAGCCGTGTTGGATTATAGCGGTCATGGTTTGGCTGCGGTTTGGATTAATGAGGATTTATTATAGCAAAATTCTGAATATGGTAACCAGACAGTGACCCTTCTACAGACTCGAAACAGGATTAGAGTGAATGTACCTCGGTTCTGCCTGTGGAAGGAACAGGGTCATAAATATTTCAGTATTGATGTGTGAACTGAATAGCCCGGAGCTCAAAAGTGTTTGGGACCACCATGGATTTTCTGACATGGTGCTCCAGGCTCTGTATTACTTGGAAGGTTTACCTCTAAGGCTTGTTATATTTGTTGGCAGCTAAATCCTGCATATGCTTTGACCTAAAAATCATCTCTCAGCGGTATAAACGACAAACCTACAGCTTTTGTTTTTTTTAATGCAGAAGCAGAATCTACCCTCTTTATCTCATTTCCAGCTTCTATGAAATGCATCATCTCAGGACACCTGGCTGTCAGCTTTCCTCCATGTGACATGTTTTCCTCTTGCATGCTAGCTTCTCCTGGGCTGTTTCTATTTCTGGCTGGGATGCAGAGCGCTCGCATGAAAGCCTCAAGTATCCCAGGTTGCTAGGATATTGTGCCAGTGGAAGAGAGGGGCTTACATGCTGCTTTGCATATTGTCCAAATCTACCCACTCACCCTCCACCAAAAAAAAACAACAAACCCTTTTATCAGCCCTCTTCAATACAACACATAGGACATGCAAAGGCCATTTGAGCGATAATGCAATTAGCTTCTAGATTAAGTGTTTTTCTAGTAAGGTGATGTATTTCCTTGCAGACTGTTCTCGTATTTAGGTAAACCTTTTTATTTTTTTTATAGTCTACATGCCAGTAATCCTGTGTCAGACAATAATTCCAGGCTTCAGAGAGCGTCTGCCCTGGCAGCACTCTCTCAGCTAGTGAAATTACTGTCTGCAGGGAGCCATTTGACTTTTAAGAGGCAAATTGGTTAGTTTTCTGCTGTTGCTTCAAAATGCCTAGTTGAAAGCTGATGGATAATGTTGGTTCTAAAAGGGCAAATTTGGCCTTTTTAAAGGCTACATGTTCTGCTTAACTTCCGATTCGTGAATTTGTTTTAGGTTTCTACTAGAATTAGCTTTAATATTTAAAAAAAACACTTTATTTTGACCTGTCGGGATATTCCCTTTTTTTTTTTTATTTCTGTCTGAAATGCTCAATTTTAATGCCTGTTTCTTTAAGCTGGCCACTTGTAAAAATCCCATGATTGGCTAACAAGATAAATATGGTGCATCTTTGAAAAAGTACTTCTCAAGCCATGGCTGAATTCACTTGGATGTGACGCAGTATATTCTAATTGGCCTATTACATTGGCCAGTACATGTAACATAAAAGGGGACCCACATCTGAATGGCTTGTTTAATTCCCATGTTTTCTAAACTAGGAAGCCCACAAAAACTAACTGGGTTGTCATTTTCATGTGTTCTTGTTTCTGTGTTGGTGGACAAAATGAGTGTCCTCTTTAACCAATAAAATCATCTCTCCAACCAGCAGAAGAGCGATCCTGGGACGCTACCACTCCTGTGGAGACAATCATGGCATCAAACCCCCGAACCCAGAGCAGTATCTCACCCCTCTACAGCAGAAGGAAGTGGCCATCAGACACCTGAAGACCAGACTGTTGGAGTCTGAGACCAGAGTCCAAGACAGGTTGGTTCAGATTTAGCCGAACAGAAGCTCCAGTCGTTTAGCATTACTGTTAACGGTTGAAAGAGGAAAAGCAACCGGCTCTTTTAAAAGCTCACTAAAACTTCAAAATGATGTTGTACAATTTAGGTTTTGCATTAGTTTATTAAATGATGTGAGCTTTTGAGGTTCTGTCCAATCAGGTTTTGTGTGGCAAGGTTTTTTAGCATACACTAGCATGCTAGTCGGCTAATAAAAACATTTTAAAAATAATGAATTAAACTGCTTAAGAACAAACACTTTCTTGACAAATCCTATAAATATCCTTTGACCTACTGCAACCAAACAGTCTACATCTCCCTGCTGCTTGTATGATTTTGCTAAGCTAACTGGCAACTGGCTAAAGCTTTATGTTATAAGTGATATCGATCTTTTCGTCTAACTCTTGTTAGAAAGTTATTTTATATATTTTTCTAAATTTCGAGCTATTCCTTAACTCAATACATTTTCTTACCTCTTTATTAGAGAGACGGAGGTGCAGGAGCTCAATGCACAGCTCGGCAGAATGAGGGAAGACTGGATTGAAGAGGAATGTCACAGGGTGGAGGCTCAGCTGTCCCTCAAAGAGGCTCGCAAAGAGATCAAGCAGCTGCGTCAGGTGGTGGAAACGATGAAGAGCAGCCTGATGGAGAAGGACAAGGGCATACAGAAGTATTTCATCGACATCAACATCCAAAACAGGAAGTTGGAGTCCCTGCTGCAGAGCATGGAGATGGCCCAGAGCGGCACCAACCTCCAAGACGAAAACAGCTTGGACTTCATCTGTGACATCCCCGATAACGAAGAGAAGAAGATGATGGGGGAGGAAGAGGGTGGGATGGAGATGGGAACACAAGGGGCGGAGGCCATGGCTGACAGTGGGCTGTTGGTGAATGATGAGATGGCCAACAGGGCAGACATTTTGGAGCAGATCTTCATGTCCACTGCGGTGGATTTTAGTCAATTGGGTGCAGGGGCTGAGTCTGGGCCTGGGGTGTCTGCGCTGACAGAAGATGGACAGTTTATTGATGAATCTACTGAACCAGCTCTACCAAACACAGTTTCCACCACCATCGCCATCCCCTCAAGCACAACTTCCCTGCACAACACGGAAGATAAAGAAACCCAGACCGACTTATTGCCCACATCTCCAGACCTGCAAACTCTGCTCCTCCAGCTGCTCCATTTCCACGGGGTAACAGTGGGGGAAACGGCTCTGATGGGCTCCAGCAATCTGATGGCTCTCCCATACCTGCCCACACCCACTCCCACAACCCCTGAAATCACCAAATTAACACCTGCCCCACCTAACATGCCCACTCCTGCTCCCCCAGAGAATCCAGATCCCTCCACAGATTCCGGCATGTGCTGCTCAGAACCCAAAGAGAGCCGTCGGTTCATGGAGGAGCTGGATTTCAGTGTCTGCGAGGAGGAACCTTCTCTGTCATCGGGGCTGGATGTGGTCGGAAAGCGGTACTGGAGCAACAGCTTCCTGGTGGATCTGGTGGCAGTTGCAGCCCCGGTGCTCCCGACGGTGGCCTGGCTGTACTCGCGGCATGGTGTGGATGGAAGCGCTCCAGTGTATAACATAGCTGCTTTCATCAGAGGCTGTTACATCATGGGATTGCACTCTCTTCGTCACGTCCCTCACAGGCCCGATGCGTAAAGGCTAACACCCCCTTCCGCATGTACACGCCTAATCTTGAACTAAAAGCACTTAAGCATCTTTTTTTGTGAGATTTGTTGCGTTTTTTTGTTGAACACTTGATTATCAATGCAGTAATTTTGGGTTCCAACACTTGTTACTTTGCACTTTACAGTTACCATGATGGTGACGTGAAAGGGATTATTTATAAAGGGGGTTATTTATTTATATATTTATTTTATCATTAATATGTATAAGCTGATCATCTGGGTAGATGGTTGTGTTGTCGTCCTTTGGTGTCCCTATAGTTGTCCTTGTGTTTGGAAAGAAATGGAAAATGGTTATTTATGTTGGGATGAGGTGAATGATACAGGAGGTGAAATTAAATGTTTGGGTTTGAAAAGTCCACAATTTTGTTATTGTTCGAAAGAGATACCTTCAGCCAAAGCTTTAACGTGAGTTCACTGTAAGTGTTTTGTGAAGAAGTATATATTTTGTTTCCCTCCTTGGGAGTAGAGCTTTATTCTGTACAGCCTTGTGTATTGTTCATATAACTAAGTTAATGCTTCAAAGCAACTGACACTTATTAATGTGCCTGAGCTATGTGCAATACTGGTGGTTTACATAAAATGTCCTTGTATCTTTAATATTAAAGCATGATAAAATCTCGCCACGTGTTGGGATTCCTTTTTTGTGGAACATGGGCAATGGGGATGACTGAACAATTGTTGACTTATGTAAGACTTATGTAAAGGCTAGTTAGGAACTGCAAGTTTCTTCATGTGCACAACATACATTTATGAAAGTCTGAAGCAATGTGCAACCAAGCAGTGTTCTCATGACAGCTTGTGTTACGTAAAAGCTTTCTCGGCCTGCACTTCCAGACGTCCCTTGGGTGGTGGCGCTGACAATATAGAGTGCATTAGATCCACTTCTCTGAGAAGCTGTAAGATTACATTTGTGTCCTTACACTATTAAAATCTGGTTCTGGGCCAGAGCAAATGTGCACTTGCAAAACACTAATGCTTTCTTTAGTCACCGGAAATAAAAAAAAAAAAGCTGATTAAGTCCAAATGAACTAACACTTGGTGCCTTTGCCATCCATTTCCCGGTTCCACTCTGCCATATGTCGATGTGTTTGAAGTTGCGTAAGCATGACCTCTTGGTTCACAAGGCAAAATAGTGACTCATCAGATGCTGTAATCTCCACACTAGTTTGTGAATTAAAATAAATTAGAAGAATTGCTTCGAATACGGTAGTCCAGTATAATCTGGACTACTTTCAAGACAATTCATCCATATTGCTTGTTCTCGTTTTGAAGAACTGTGTGCCTTTCCTCTCCCTAAAAGTGGGTCAGTCTGAGTTTGGCCAGCCGGCAGTGTCCCCTGACAGATGGGAGTGACATTGTGATGGAGGGCAAAGCAGTGACGACAACGGTCTGTGAATCTAGTTAAAGGCCACCAGCTTTTAACATACAACCATAACATTCCCCAGTTGCTTACTCACATTAACATATGATGGCAAATGAGGCCTCATCATATTATTATATACTGTGCAACAGCATTCCACTATAGTTCTTGAAATCTTTAATCACCTTATTTCAACCGAAGGTTTGCCGTTGAATAACTTCAGCCTACTTTCAGCTACAGAAACCATTCAAATATCAAAAATATTCAGCCTTTTCAGCACATGGTGGTTCAAAATATTTGAAACTTTTTGAAATATTCAGCTTTTAAACTCTTTTTTTAACATGTAACTAAATGGGAGGAACTTTCAAATCCTCTTTTACCTACACGGTGCGCCAAATGCTACTCCTTCCACATACTTTCAGCTAGAGATTTAATTCCAACTTTAAAATTATCACAAGACATTCAACTATTAAAATATTATTCAGATTTTTGATATCTTTTACACTTTGAGATATTTAACTTAGTTTGGAGCTTGGTAAAGAGGCCTTCTTCAGATTTTAACATTAGTGTGTATTGCGCAGCTCGTTAAGGCTTAGAGTGCGATGTCACACCTAGAGTGGAGGAGAGCTTGAAATTTGCCTTACATCTTTTTTTTTAAACTGCAATAACTCCAAAACCCTACACTCCTGGGACATAATTTTATGCTTGAATTGTAGGAAAACATCTCTTAGCTTGAGAAATTAAAAAAACAATTAAACAAAATGTCTCTTGAGGGCGTGAAGTGACAAAAACGTTCAACATGTCTCCATTAAGGCCCATTGTAAATACAGCCTGATCTATCCTCAGAGCAGCAGCTGCAGACCTTTAGTAAATCTGCCAAGGATGCCACATTATTGACCCGAAAGCGCACAAAAACCAAAGCAGCTACCGTTTTTAAACTATAGTTAGAAATGTAAGAGGTTTATTTCTCATTCAGAACAATGGAAAGGCTCTCCTTTCACTGCACATCTCCATGGAAACCTTTGATCTCTGGGCTCACGTACACAGCTGTTTGATAACGTCGTCACCATGGTAACCTTTGATCTCTGGGCTTACACACACAGGTGTTTTCAGTCACCTCAAACACAAACAAACAAACTGGAGTTTAAAGACTGTCGCAGCCTATTATTTTCTGTCTGATGGAGACTTCATACTATCTTCAACATGTTCCAAATATTTTATACATTATTGGTGACGTTTGGTTTTGGTTCAAAAGTTTGCAGTTAAAATATTCTGATGCTTTTCAAAGCGTTTTTAATTTTTTTTCTCTTAATACACATTCATTCACTACTACTTACATTTAATCTTAACTCCTTCAGCCTACTTTCAGCTATAAACCATTCAACTGTTAACTTATTCAGCTATTTCAGGACATTGAGGCTATACATTTTGTTGTTTATACCTTTTTTAAACCTTTTCTTTTGAATATTAAGCTTCTTCACTATTTTTCCTACTCTTCCAGTTTAACATTTCACTTTCAAGTTTTCAACAAAGTCATTGCAATGCATTTGAGCTGTAACAATTTTGATTCAAATCATTTCACTTTTCTGCATTTCTCCGCCAAGTTCAGTAACACACTTACTTGGTTTTTGTAGCTAAAAGCAGCTACAGAGACCATTCAACTAATACAATATTCATATATTTCAGCTAAATTCAGCAACAAATGTACACAGTTTACACCATTCACACAAATTTTCAGCAGGAAATGCATTTTTTAGTTGCTCCTAACCTAACGCTGCTAATTTATACTTATAAATTCAGACTCTAAATATAACAATGTTTATTATGCTGTACACTTGGGATAAGGAATGATCCCTTACCCCAAGTGAAGATGTTCCAAGTATTTCAAGGTCTTGTTCTAGAGTGAGGCCTCAATGGACCGTGAGATGGGCCGAATAATCTATGAGTGGAAACGGTAATGCAGTCGCTCTACCGCACCGTTGTGACAAAGAGAGAGCTAAGGGAAAAGGTGAGAAGTTCAGTCATCCGGGAGGTAATCGGAATAGAACCGCTGCTCTTTTACATATAAAGGAACCAGTTGAGGTGGTTCAGGCACCTCTTCCCTAGGGAGGAGTCCCAAGCATGTCCAACTGGGAGGTGACCAAGGGACAGACCCTTGGAGGGATTATATCTCCACTGTAGCATGGGAGCGCCTTGGAAAGCCTTGGAATCTTAGGAAACCCTCTGTAGGAACTGCTCCCCCCTCGACCCTACCCCGGATAAGCTGTAGAAGATGGATGGATGTAATGCTGGGACAAAAAATACTTTGATTTGAAAAGTCCATATTCATCCCATCGCCATTTCCAGACATGTGCTTTTTATATACATTTATCATTTCCAGAACAGGAACATAAAGCCAGCCAAATCGTGTCAACGGTTTTTCTCCAAAAATACATTTGGATTCTTCTTTGCAAACACGAAATCCACAAAGTCTTTGAGATTTTTTTGATTGCAAATGGAGTGGACCATTTTCCATAGCCCTGGAGCCAGGACACAGGCAATGCTAACACAAAGACCAAACGCATTTCATTTGGCATAGCAAAATAATCATGTAATATCTTGTGTTTCTGAAACAAAACAACACATAGTGTTGAAAAAACAGCCCCCATGCAGACCACCATCTTCTTTCAATGAAAAAGTGCATTTCTTAAGACAATACAAAATAACAAAGATAGTTTGCTGAATTCCCTTATAATTAAAAAACTGCTTAATTCAAACTTTTAATGGGACAGTTCCACCTAAAATCCAAAGTATATATTTGTCCAGTTAACGTTAGAGCTTTTTTTTATCAAAATATTTAAGAGAACATCTGGAGGTCTATGGTCTTCTTGGGGCACTTTTTCCTTAAAACTTGATAATTCATCACTAATTGGCGGATTTACATTTTGACAGAATCCGTACCTCCGAGTGTATTTAGTATACAAATGTGTCGACCCAAGTTTTTTATCAAGCATCAGAGACCAGGGACATAATGTATCATGTCCGCACTTTTTACTACCATTTATAAAAAGGTCTTTCAATGTTTCCATGACAACAGCACACTGGCTGGTAATGTGAATATATCAATGCATAAAAAGGGTGTTCAGTCAACAGTGAGACTTATATTTTCCGATGAGAAAAAGAAGCAAGAATTTATTATTTTAATCTTAGGCCAAAGTAACCGGTCTGAGATTACACTGTGATGGCAACAGCGACTGTGCAGTGAGGGTATCCAGTTTAAGAGCAAAGTAACATTCACACCCCCTGAAAAAATAACAAAGCATTGCAGTGATCACTGGAAATGTTCCGTCTAGATCAAAATCCAACAAAGGGAAATGTGGCAGATCAGTAGCCATGAGATTACCATAGGAACCCACAGCTGACATTAAAGTTGGGCTATATTTTAGTCTATGGTCAATTATTCTTATTCATACTGAAAACCTTAATTTTATTGCAGATGTCCAGTGTACTCAGGGACGTACAGCACAGGGTGAGATATCAAGCAACATTCATTAGAAACAAAAAAATCAGACAAAGAAAGACATAAATATAAAAACACAATGATCAAGCAAACCATGAGCAGTCACCGGTGTTCAGTGATGCTTAAAATTAATGACACTCCTTTGTCCTTTTGAGGTTATAAATAAGACAAAAGAATGGGAAGTGTACTCCCCGTTTGAGTTTCAAAAGGTAGTACAGATACCTGTTTATTTACAAATGTTCCTTAAGAAAAAAAAAGCATTTTTCTACACTACCCGACAGATTTATCCAGAATCTAAATGGTACCTTCTAAAGCTGTATCTAACATTTAACCTAGGATGAACTGGGATGTATAAATATAGCTTTCCCTTAAATGACCTTGGCCACATGAAGACACCAGGTGTGTTTTCTGCCCTCGAGAATGATGTGTTTTACACTGCTGCGACAGGGAAACAGACTAAAATGGCTGCTGGTGGAGACGGGGTGGAGGACAGTTTTCTAAGTAGGGATGTAATCCTGGTCGGTATGATGATTTTAAAGACAGAGTGACAATTGATTCAGTGTCTTTGTTCCACGCCCCCTCCCTTTCCCTTTCTGGCTCAAAATTGAGCAAAATTCTAAAAATGTTACGAGAGCTTGACGGCAATCTTCTGGTCCTTCTTAATCATCCTCTGAGCGTCTTTCTCCAACTTCTTCCTCTGCTGCTCCATGGTCCGCTTTTCCCTCTCAGCCATCTTCTGTTGTCTATTAAATAAAAAGGAAAAAGAGCAATGTCATTACTGCGCACATCAAAAGAAGCTAGGTCAGCAGGGAAAACTAAATCCTGGTTCCTGCTCTTGGGTTTTAAAAAGGGGAAAAAAGGAATACACTGCCACTTGCTGGCCAATGTGTGGAACTACATCACCCGAGTAAATAAATGAATTTTAATACTGCTATTTTATATGATAAAATATGTAATAATGTGTTAATTGCTGTAAGGTTGCAGCTGCAGCCTTTTTCAAAAATATATACTGCTGGGTGGCTTCAGAATTTCCGCAAAAGACATCTATAATTATTCATGCTAAATTATTTTACAAATAACCAAAAAAATACAAACCAAAAAGAAAGGTGTGAATAAATCATGTAATGGTGCGAGAGTTAGTGAGCATTTTTGAAATCGTACCTAAGCACCTCCTCCGCCTCCCAGGCAGCGTTGGACTCGTCCTCCCAGGCGTTTGCGTTCTCCTGCCAGTTGTCCATTTCTCCCAGTTCAGCCTGCACAAAGGGAGAGTTCACAATTATATCCACACAACCACAACCCAATACCTCTTAACTAGAAATGTATTCTGGATTTCAATGTCCTAGTTTAGTTATTTACCCTTTAACAAGTTGCTTTGGGTTTGTTGTTTTTTGCTTGTCACATTTTACTCACTGCAATATACAAGTCCTGCACTCTATGGAAACGGCACAATAATGGCTATGGATCCAGCTACCATAACAACATACTGAGGCTTGCCAACAACTTCGCTTCTGACCCCAACCATGTCCTGATCAGTGAATATAAATTGTTAACATTAATTGGGAGATACAGAGTCGCACCTTTTAAAAAGCTTAGACGGTATATTTGTTTGTGCACCGTCAATCCTAAAATCAAATAAAGTTTAAACCCAAATTAAACGGTATGCTGAAGCGTGGTGAACATATTGTTATCGAACATAATTTAACATTTCTGGAAATCTTTTTATTTTTATGTGTATGTCTGTCCTAGGGAAAAACTTTTTTTTTTAGGTATTTCCACAATATTACACAGATATAATTCCACAAATAAAAAAAACCAAGTGAAATTACTTAAATCATGCAATACATTTCAAACTATTTACATTTCTACAATGTTTCTTGTTCCCTCCTCTGCTGTGTACACAAGCTGCAGTTCAGTCCAAGTTTCACATGTTGCTCTTAGACGAGTCCCTCATGGCTTCCCTGGTGAGTAGCATGACATTTGAAAGTGATTTTGATGAATGTTCCTTATGTTCAGCTAAGATTTACTAAGCTTAGATATTAGAATCTATTATTCTGTTTCTGATAAATGGTGGAAATTAACTTTAAAGATCTCCTATCATGATATTTTTAGGCATATATTATGGGTCTCAGATATATAAAAATATATTTAAAAAATTTCTATGATGTGTTTTGCTCAAAATACCAAACAGATGATCCCTCACATCCCTCTATTCCAGCTCTGTTAGAGAATTGCTGATCTGGGTCCTTAGCTTGAAAAAAAAAAAAGAGGAGGGGGAGCTTGTGCCTGTGCAGAATGATACGAGATACTCAGCTAAATGCTGCCATGATGAAACGTCATATCATGTTCCAAACCACATCAAGGATTATTTCTGAAACAGTATGGAGCTAAAATGCTTTTTTTCGAGCGGGTTTACCACAAGGTGAGTTCCTTTTTTTATTTCCTGCTTTTGTACATATACACATGTGTTTCCCATACATTGATTTATTTGTGGCGGGCCACCACAATTAAATATCGTCCGCCACAAATGGATCACAAAAAAAAAAAATTTTTTAAAAAGTGTAATCTTTTACACCGCTACTAGTGTGCCCTTGAGTAAGGCACTTAGCCCTCAGTTACACCAGGGAGAATGTCCCTGTAATTGGTCAATGTAAGTCACTTTGGAATAAGGTGTCGGCTAAATGCCCAAATTGTAAATGATATTTTTGGGAGAATAAACTCCACAGATCCTCAACTCCGGTGTGTTTCACTCATCAACAATGCAACACAGCGCAACAAGAATGTTGTCTACAGTAGCCATGAACTCGCATGTATTTTCTTATTTGAGGGGGGGTGGATGCGTGGGCCACCCGAATAGGTTAAGGGGCCTTTGGCTTTTCTTGCCGGGGGGGCGGTGCAGTGCCCCCACAAATAGAATCAAATTCTGTGGGAAACACTGCTCTCTCCATTACAGGTTAGCTCTGAGTGTTAGCGATGCTTGCTAATGTAAACAATGTTTTTAGAGATTTGGGTACGGAGGAAAAGAGAGAGGGTTGTATTTTCTGACACTTTGTGAGTTCCCTGACACACCAGGGACACATATGATATTTATGTATAAAAGACATCAAAAAGT